ATTTATATATTATGTATCTTTTTTGCAGTATCCTTTTACAAATTTAGTAATATTTCCATGAATTAGCTGTAATATGGATACACAATATGATTTATTTTTATTTTGCGTGTATTAAATAGGTACCTATAATGCATATTATTATTTATTACATATTTGAACTATAAGCACGATAAATACATGTTTTATGATTTATATAAACAKAATTAGTGTAACTGAGGCTGCCATTTTGTAATKTATAAATATGGTACACTCCTAATTTAAATTTCATAAAATAAGTGATTAGAACGAAAAAAAATTTTGGTTATATTAAAAATTATATAAATGTATCAAAAAAGTTAGAATAAAAAAATTATTTGGCTGTAGTAAACTGAAACTTTATTTATTTTAAAACAATTTACTMTGTAATTTCTAAGAAACATCTTTTTCACTTAATGGTGGCGTGTAAAATATTTGTAAAACAATACTGTATATTTTAGCATATTTTTATAAAAAGAAATACATATTTTACTATCTTATAATATTACTAGGATAAATCCTAGTTCTAATAATATTGGAGGTAGGTCTTACACCAATCGAAACACACCAAACTTTTGCGCACATCTATTTAGATGCGTCGCTACTCGTTGACATAATGATTTATATAATTGGGATTTATAAAACAATTCTTACATTGCATATTATATAGTCTACAGGAATCCGACAAAAAACTAAATGYGGAGGGGATATGACAACAAACAAAATGCACGAAAAACGATAATAAAACTTTTGTAAAACTTTTGCTACTGCGTATACATTGGTTTTCTAAAACACGCAACATACCGTGTCCACATTGATGCAAGTATGGAACGAACAAGACGTCTTTTAAATTTAAATAGGTAATACCTGTACCTAATATTATAATTTATTATGTTCTAGCGAATAGAGTCGGTGCCCGCGATATATCGATTTTCGGGAAATCTCCACCATCACGTACCTATACAGTTCATAATATTATAACGGCATCATAATACGACGTGCAGATAGGTATAACAATATAATGTATTATATGCATGTAACGCATGTGATGATTTTTTTTTTTATCATTATTTTACAACGTTTCATGGATTATCGATCGAATCGGATGATATGTATATATAATATATATATATATATTTTCTATCGACGTTTTATTATTAATGTCATCGCAAACAAAACATTATATTATATCCGTCCGTGACAAAACAGCCGTGACCTACGTGATTCGTGTATATTTATTATATATGTATAGTATTTTTTTTCGTTCTTTTTTTTCCACCGAATTTCGTTCATCGGCTCCGCGCCGACGGCTGATTGGAATTTCGGAAAACCGCGTGCGCACCGCGGCAAGTAGGACGGGCAGAGAAAACAATAACAAACACGAGTAGACACGAACTCGGCGACAACGCACACGGCCGGACGGTTCATAAATATATTGCAAATTAGTTTTTACCGAGACAAAACCCATTTACTGTGATATTATTTTATGGCCACAGTTGTTGTACCTACCTACGGCCTATACAAATGGTGGTGGCGATGGTGCCACAGCTGCAACATCAGCAGCAGTATAGTGATACGCACAAGCCGTTGACTTCAGAGGAGAATGGGTGTACGGGTTTTYGGTTTTTGCCACCATTGCATTTCGGTCATAGTGGGTGTATGCACCTCTTCTACCTACTCACACATAAGAATATAATATCTATAATTTATATGATAATAATGATGATGATAAGACTTTTGGTCCGAGAGTCCGGTATTAGCGACCGGTCACGTATCACCTCCGGTTCTAGGTCGGTCCTAATATATACATATATAACCCGCCTAGCTAGCTCTATATATATATAGCAGCAGCAGCTAGCACCCGCGCTGACCGTCCCGCGAAGAGAAAGAGAGAGGAACCGTGTCACACGAAACACAAAAATAATAAATAATACAATAATAATACAAAAACGGCGCACACTTAAACGAGCGCAGGCACGCACGATTTGTGTGACCTCGATCTGGATTTACACTCCGGGTATAGATCGGGCGTAGGTACTACACGTCCCATAGATACCGGTGAAATTCGATCGGTAACTACTGGAAGAGAATTGTTGCGAATTTTTATTTTTTATTTTATTTTTTGTTTTTCATAACGCCAACGCACTCGGGGGGTCATAAAGCCACGGCCCCGGTCGATCTATATTATTACTTAGGCACATAATACCGGCCGTATTACACACTGTACTTATATAGTATTATTGTGTGGTTGCTGCCASTACGGCTTCACGACCGTCACCGTAGAGTGTGGAAAAAAAAGTACAATAATAACATAATATTATAATGACGATGGCGCTCCGCAAAGACAATGCTGATAAATTGGCGAACGACTATAATGTTATTATATATTATATATATACGAGTGAGTGGTGATGGCGTACAATATAATATATAGATACCCATTAGAGCTACTGCAATAATAAACGCATATACCTACGTACTATATGTGATCGTATTATATATTGTGTTAAATTAACTCACCATAATGTGGTCCAATCGAAAACGGAGAGAAGTGAAAAAACATACTTAACGCGTGTCGAAACCATTAGCCACTAATGGTCGTTATAGTTGTAACAATATAATAAGTCACTACTGCAGCGACACATAATATATCTATATTCTATAATATTATAATGTATATTAAACTCTGCAGTGGCGGCGATGGTTCTGTCTTCTGTGTAACTGTGTGTATAATATTATAACACTGATATTATACGGTCCCATTTGTCATAAAAATGTTTATAATATGAGCCTAAAGCAGCGTCTACACATCACACATGTCGCGTGTAGTTTTTGTTGCACGGAACTGGTGTGAGGACACGTGGTTTTCTAATATTAKACGAAACTATATAATAAGTTTATATACGTCGTGTATGTCTTTTAGCTAGGGTGCGACCGGGCCTGATTTCACGACTATTTTCGAGTTTTCGTATAAAATGTGTACACGTTCAGAGTTCAGCTACATAAAAATTTAAATGTCTTGATCACCCATAACCACTGTGCGCATACAGTTGAGGTCGAAGTGTTACATAAATAAACTGTTACCACCCATGTTTTCTTTATGCTATGATGAATACATTATTAAACATACACTAGGTACTTATATCCAAGTATATGATATATATAATACATTATATGTACGCAACGTGTATAATATTGTATGCATGTAATATAGTGATCTGACTAACTATTTCAAGAGACGAATGCCAGATACCTATTAGCCGTGTAACGCGCTTGCTGTTTAAAATGCCAGCACAGAGTGTCCTACAATAGTATAAGATTGATTTTACGTATTATATTATKTTGTATGGAAATTCCTACATTTCGATAATATAGATGCATAGTGTACAACATTGTACCTACATGATGTACACAAATTTTATATTATACAATATTTACTTACCACAGTCGTAAGGCATGTGTACATTAAACTCAAAGGGCTCGAAGTGAACACCATACGTTTCTATAGCGACATTAATATTATTATAGGTACGTCGTTCAATACCTAACAATATTGTTTTTATGTCCCACGAAAGGGCTGCAGAAAAAAAGACAAAAAAAATAATGTCACACGCGTATCTATTGTTGTTACTATAATATATATTGTATAWGTATACACATTAATACGCATTATCGTGAACTTTAATTTGAACCGTATACTCCACCTCGTTAAAATGTCAAGTGTGTAAAATAAATGTTAATCTTTTTCAGACCATGAAAACCACCGAATAAAATTTTCGAAACAAATCCACATTACATTAAAGCCAGTCCCACCAAAACATTACGATCCGCTGCAAACGAAAACCACAATCGGTCATGATTTTAAAAAATTTCAACGTGACGTTAAATAATTTCAACGCTGGTGTGTATAAAACGTGTTCCCTGTTTTGACATTAACAATATAAATATTATACATCTATATAAGAATATATGAACTCCAAATGCGTCAGCGAATTTGTGCGGTAAAAAAAACTATCAATCGACCATCATCACCCCGACCGTTTGGTTGCGGTTAAATTTATCATTGCGTTTATAGTTTATGTTTTATGTATACAAATAGCCTTCTATTTAAACCAATTATATTCGACTTAAAATGAAAAACACCCCCTGTCCTGCACGTAGCGGTGTATTTAGGATGGAAAACATAATCTTAGCGCTGTACTACCCCGTGTTACTCCGAGCGGAAATTTCATCAAAAATATACGCCATTTAATTACCAGAAACTTAAAATGGCGCCTGTTGGTATACTGTGGAGAGAAATCGGTGTTTTTCCGAGGGATGCACAGTAGATCTTCGAGCATACAATATTTTCATTATTTTAAGAAATTTAACTAAAAAATCTATACTTACTACGAACATCTAGATGKAWWCATTATAGGTGCAGTTTACTAACTATAATACTATTTTGACTAGTATTTTCTGCTACTTGACTGTTTATATTTATAGATTCAATACATTTGATTAAATCGGCTATACCTACCATTATGTGGTTAAAACTGTAATATCTTAATGTGCTTAGACTGTTAACTAAAACCAAATTAGGTATTTACTCAATAGGCTTAAAAAGATTATCCGATTGCAAAATTAGATGATCTTCCAATTACCTACTGAACCTTCAAACAATTTACAGGCCAAGGAGTGCGATTAATGTCTATTGTCTAGAAAAAATATTGCCAAAATAACTTGTAATAAGTTAAAATATAGGTATCCGCTAGGGTACTAATGAACAGTTTGAGGCGATTGTCCTTGCTCCTGTGGAGTCTTATAAGGTAAATCCACATAATTCGAGAGAACTTTGAAAATTATAAAACTAAAAATAGAAGTATTTCGCTTTTATAAGATCCAAAACATATACTCAAAAAATGTTCAGCTTAAAGTTAATCCCGATCGAGGCTATATCATTCGTCAGTAAAGACAGTGAACAATAATACTATTTTCAAACTCACCTGTGTCTCTCAGGTTTCCAGTAAATGTATTAATCCACATTTGAAAGCGCGATGATAACACAAACAATATTAATTATCCAAGATATATTATAGTTATATCGTATCGATTGAGAATATCGATAACTGGGTGAAAATTAATTTTTCTAAAAAAAAAAAACAACAATAACCAAAACAAAACAAAACCAACGAAAATTAAATTGCAAACAAAACGATCATTTAACCACTCGGTAAGTATTTGTCGTATCCCGAATAAATTTGACGTTTTGTTCTTATAACGACTAAAGCGATATATATATATATAAATTAAAAACCAAACTATGTTTCGGGCACAACTATGATCACGACCGACATCGGCAACAAAACGAACGACACGGGCACGAGAGAATAGCGAACTGACTGCTATGGTACCGTCGAAGGACTTGGCGGGCGCGGCTTACTATCGGCGACGGTGGCGGCGACGGCTACGACGGCCGTTCGTCTGGGGGAACACGCGGCGGCCGAACCGGCGKTTTTCTTTCATCCAAGCGGATATAGAGGGATATAGGAAAAAACATAAATGCTCGTATAAACCAAAATACAATATAATAATATAATATTGTATCGTTATTATTATTATAACGCTATGATATTGATAGATCTAACCTGCAAGTACCTATATATAGTACCTATAATCTCTCTCTCTTTGAATATATGTATATTATATATATATATATATATATATATAATGGTAATAATATGTACAAGTATAACAATGTCGTATTCGGTTATGATTGATCAATCTGATTATTATTTTTTTACTGTATTCTCTTTACATCTCTCTATGCCCGCAATATTATAGGTATACACGCGCGTCCTACCTATTTGCTTGTTGGACCAAAACATCACTAGCGTGGTACGATTTATATWGAATTATCGTCCTTATTCTGGGAACGACGTCGAACACAGGCGACGACAACGATGACAAAAAATAATTTCTTGATTTTTTTWAATTTACTTTTTACTTCCCGATAACACAACGACAATCGTATAATACACGTGTAGTAAGTAGCTATATTAATTATATATTTTACATATCCACTAGACCTATATTATAAATTAAGTAGGTTACTATATTATATTGTACTCATATTTATTTATTATTATTTTTTTGTGTTTCGTGTAGTCCATCTTTAAAACATTTATAAGCCACGATAACTATAATATTATGTGCCAAATGGCAATGTGAGTAGAGTTGGTAATAWATAGTAACGATTAGAGTAATAATAATGATCAATGAGTAGCTATAGGAGCTCGTCGTACGGATTTAATTTATGATGGTTTTCGTTGAGGTTTTTGGAGATAATCACTGAATGAGATTGACTGCAAATCGATAAGCAGTTATAAAAGTGTACAAAAAAAAATAAAAAWAAAAAATAGTGAAACAATTAGGAACTTGAGATGAATATAATAATAAGCTCTACCTACCTATTTACTCATATATTTTCATGTTAAGGAATTTAATTTATGTTATCTATTTAKAGATAAATTTAAGTATCTAACATAATATTTAATTGTTCTTTCAGTAGGTGTTATTATTGTTTGTGCTGAGTGTTAATACACGGACTTCAACATTAGGATTATTATACTTGTTGGAGTGGTACAAACTTAATTCTCATGTATTTAATTCCTAATAGGTTAGTTAACATTAAAAATACCGGGGTTTAGARTTGAAAATATGTTCTGAAATTTTTGTTTATGGGCCGCTTCACATATAATATGCTTGTCTTAATCATTGTTGTAGAAACATGACATTGTTCACTTATGGTACCTATATAATATACTATAATTTTTAAATAATACTAGTTAATACAAATCATATCTTATGTCACGCTGTTTTTATAGGTACATGAAATCTATTTTTCAACMATTTTCATACCAATCACATAATAGCATATTATATTATAAAAAGGTAATTAATAATTTTGTTTAACTAGTGATCCCAGGAGCGCTGGACCAAGGCTATTAAGTTTCTGAAGGGGCCATAATATTATATTAAATTCTGAAATTTAATTTATAAAACGATCCTATAAAAAATATCAATACAGATTGTACACATCATAATATCATATAAGACGTATTTTGGCTTACGCTCACATATTAATAATTGACTATAATATTATAATAGTATTTAATTACTATATTCTCATATAAAATAATACCACGTTAAAGTTATAGAACTCTTCACTCGGCTCCATCTGAGTCTCAGAAGGTTCTAAACAGGATTGACTGCAATTTATGAAGCCATCTCTTTATCCATCAATCATTCTCTTCTTAGATTGGAGTATGTAGCTAGCTTGGGCTACTCGTTCGATTCTCTCTCTCCGTTGAATGCGTTCAACCTAATCTATAACCTTTTCACAATTGTCACGTACTTTTTTCCTTTTCTCCTCCTTTAGAATGTCCTTAGTTGTGCCAATGAAAACCATTCTGGATTTGAACTCCTATAATGTACTCTTCGCTGTAATCCCTGTTAAAACACACATGAGTACCTACTCAGTCTTCTGAAACTGGTTATTGATATAGTGTCAATCCTAGTTCGGTTCTGTGTTCGATTATACTTCTGGTAATGGAGAGCTAGAACAGTATATGTTCGATCGGTGTTATCCTGGTGGTTACCAGATGTGTGTCTGTCATATTCCTAATTCAATGAAGATAGTGCCAGCTATCCATTTAATGTTTATATTCAGTTGATGACTGTTAAGTGGAAGCTAGTAACGATAATAAAGATCCGTAAAATAATTGTTTGATGTATGGTAGCCACCTTTTTCACTAAATTCTATTGGGGGGGATTTTTATTTGTCCCATCTGCACTTCAAGTAACTGATAGGCGATAGCGGATTCCTTGCTGCTTTATTTTGTCATTGTCAGTGGCTTTTTCCAATAGGTTGCTTACTTAGTTTTTAGATACCTACCTGCAATCTGCATACATGTTTAGTACCAAATATACATATACCTGCATTGGCTGCATTAAAATATGATTCATAAAGTCATAGTATAAAATATGACGTGATTTAACTGTTTTAATAATATTTTTAAATTACCTAATGATAGTTTTAGTAAAGGATAGTTCTAATAAATCTAAATGCACGGATTTACGTATTATAATCTAATTTCACCTACCTACCTATATTTCTATATTTTTGTTTATTCATATTGTATAATAAGCCCGATAAGATATAACTATAATTTATTAATTTAGTGGATAAAAAATGAAGAGAGTAAAATAAAATAATACTTGTATCAAACATAATACATTTGTGTGCTTGTATATATAATATTTATTGTATATTTAGACATTAGACATACTATAATAAGGTACCTACGTGCGTGTACCGTAAATTCGGTTCCTTTCGATGCATAATTCTACATTATGTAAATTATAGAAAATCAACTGCGTTCTATTGTCAAAACTAACCTCGCCATAAAAATTAAATATATACACGTACGTATAATTCTGGAGCACATACATAAAAATCAAATGTACACACAAAAGAATTCTTAGCTTAAATTGAATACTTCTAGAGTAAAGAGTTAGAAAAATACATAATTTATAACATACATTATATTATATAAAGTATAAATGTATAGGTAGTCAATAGTGAACGTTAAATGGATACAGACAGGTGCTTGTATATAAGTATACATATATTATAGAGGTTTTGACTTGTAAAATAATTATAGTTTCAAGTATATTCTTGACACAAATTTCGTGACTAGGTATTGTAAAGTCTGAGGTTGTGCTATAATCGGAATTCATAACTTTAATAGGTAAGTATATTAACAAGTTGAAATTAATTTTTCACCCGTTTTTTTAAATTAAATAAGTTTAAATTATTTTAATTAAACATAATATTACCTTCTAGATAAAATGACTTTATATATTATAAATATGATTAACTCGATCTTCTTCACCGTTTGGAACAATAATAGGAAAGGTGACTGCAGCATCATAATAACATTGCGTGTGCATAATTATTTGATTAATTTMAATTAAATTCTAATATGAGAAAAGTAATAGTTTGTTTCAAGGTGTAATATCTTAATCTTAAATCTATATCTTGTAATTATTATTTTTATAATTTATTCGAACGTATGAGTAATATCAATAATTTAATTGAAATTGTGTGTAAGAACAAATTTATTCATACACCTATATTCTATAACTATACTTATACCTACGTAACAAAATTAAAACTCATTCGAATAACCATATAGTTATTGTTTGTATTAATTTGCAAAATAATAAGCTATTTTAATCAGTATAGTAAACATAATATATGACTATATAAAATTAAAACGTTAGCAGTTTTCTCCTTTCTTGTGCATACATGTTTACAATTGTATACGTCCATGTTAGGTTACGAAATATTATATATTCATATACTCGTATATAATGTTAATGTTATAATGTCATATATATATATATATATATATATATCGAATAATATAAGTATAATATAAGTATAAAATCGYAATTTGACTAAACATTAGGCTTAAATAAATTATTTTAATACCTAAATAAAACCTACATATGTATATACCTAAATATAGTATGGTAGGTATTCATTATTATAGGTACTACATAAAATTAATTCGAAATTAATCATATTTTGTATGGTTCTTTATATCTATAGGTACGCACTTCCTTGGTTTTTCTTTATATTCTGCAGCTGATCACTGGCTCACGTCGATTCATCCAAAGATAAGACTTATAAGTTATAGATTAGTTCTACATATTCATCGTAATCCATTGATAGTTTGATGATTTACAACCAAAGAGATTAAAATCGATAGTTTGAAACCAAAAATTCTTTAGATAACCCATGGAATGGTCTATAATCGTACATGACAAATTTCAAAAAATATTGTTCTGTATTACTTCATAGTAATAAAATCTAAAATAGAAATTGTGCGGAAATAAATCTTTAACGTAATGAATTCGAATGCAGTCAGCATATAGGTATTTATAACATTAAAAAAAAAATATTGATCTATATCAATATATAGGGCTTGCAAAAAAATGCCATGTTTAATTAAGAATATTAAAAAAATACAGGTTATGATAATATTATTTGATTTAAAATTGTTATCATTAAAATGCGAATGGTTATTACTGTTAGTTTCTTTCCAAACATTTAAATTGATCATTTATAACGTAATATTCAATTTAAATCAAAACAAAATTATGTTAATAATATGCTGATATATGTATGTGAAATTGCTGTTAAATCATCGTAATACAATTTATTGTTTGGGAGTACCTATGGAMTGTCCCACTGTGGTAAAATATCCATTATAAGTTTATGGTGTATAGAGTACMTATAGATTACATGAACAAAATATTATAG